TTTGATTCTTTACAAACACATCTGAAAGTTAACATGTGGGTTGTGGGCTGTGGGCATCAAATCAAAACAATAAAACGAACATGGATTCGATCATAAGTAGTATTTGCCCTCCTTTTTTTTTAAAAAAAGAAAGGTACTGCAGAGTTACAGGATTGTCAATCTTATCGGCACCATCAATTTTCGGCAATTGTAGAACTCAACCAAAACACCCATTGAAGTGCTACATCCCTAGCTCGCAACCCAATTAGAAGTAAGTTCTCGCAAGCCTAACTCCCCAGCTATTATTAAACTATATGAAGGGCTCCGAAATAAAGGCCACTATTAGAAAAAAGAGTAAATGATTATTGTTTTCTTTCATGCATGATTATTGTTTTCTTTCATGTATGATTATTGTTTCCTTCCATGCATGATTATTGTTTTCTTCCATGCATGTGGCCTCAGGTGATCGATTTGTTTCCTTCAAAGTAGGCGGGGATCGCAGGGATGGCAGTTTCTTTTTCTATCGCGCGGGGTATCGCACGGGGTGGGCAGACGGACGAACCAAAACAAATATCGCACCAAAAGATATTCACGTGAACAGTGTTTCCAGCTAGGAACAATATTTTTCTCTCACACAAACCAGTTAGCAACAGTACTTTCTCATGAACCAGCAACGAACAAGCCAACAGTTCCGAACAGTGTAGTGGGACAAAAAACATCCGGACCAAAAAATCAGCGGAAATTTTGCCTTCTTCTTTATTAGTATTAGGGATAGATTCTCTTTCCAGCTTATATATCTCTCCATGGCGAGATAGCACCGCACATAAGCATATCTCTTCACCGCACGCAGGCACGCTAACCCGTGCATGTTAGTATAAAAAACATGCATGTTTTTTTTTTGTGCGGGGAGGTGGGGTTCGACACGGACTCTCGTGGGCGTGATTTTTTTTTGCGGGAAGGTGGGGCTCGACGCGGACGGGACGACGTTGGAACCTGCGTGGTTCACGTACGGATTCACGATTAAGGCCCCTTCGCTTCGCTGAAAAAACAAACCAAAACACTGTTTCGGCTAATTTGTTTTGAGAGAAAAACACTGTTTCGACAGAAAAAACAATCTGAAAAAAAACGAATTATAAGAGAAGCGAACATGACCTGAGCTACGGGCCGAGCTATTAAACTTGACATCCGACGATAACACAAGGAATATTTTAGGCGCAGAGAAGAGATATAAATGGACCGAGGAGCTAAACAAACCGCAAAAGACTAGGACTGTGGTTCAAGCCTGTACATGGTCTGGTTTTACCTGGTTCTGGGCAAAAACCAACCCAGCCCATAAGGTATCATGGTTTCTACGGGTTACCTAAAAAGTGGAAGATGACGATTGACGATGGAGCTCACGAAGAGAAAATTGAAGTCTACCTTGATTTTGAAAAAAAAAAGAGGAGGGCGGGACCATAATAGCTTTTTTTAAGCCAAAGAATTGGTCAACAACAGTTATTATATATAGTTTGTACGATGGTGAGATGGATGATGTGAGGGTGCATGCAGAGAGCACAACTGCAATCAAATAAACAAACGAAACAATATGCAAAAATTATTTTCAATTAAGAAAACAAAAATTCTTACACCGAAAAGAGCTTGCTACCCGGGCAACAGCGCGGGCCACATTGCTAGTTCAATTGCACAGGAGAGGTACAAGGATTCGAGTACTGTTCCCAAGGTTCCTTGGACAGCCAAAGGCTCAACGAGACAGTAAAGTGCAGTGCAGTACCCTGTTCCTGTAGAAAAGCGAACATATCTAGAAAAACTTGAAAACGAATGCTGTCGACCAGACTGGAAGCAGACTAGCAGAGGCTCGAGGTTTCCAAGGCTAGAAGTTTGGAAGTTACAAAGCAGTTTGGCCCTCCCAAAGACACGCTCCGGTCAGTGCTTTCGTATAAGCGCATAGCAAGCAAAACATTAGCCGATGAAATCATCGATGCTTAAGTGGCACGGCCACAATTTTCTAATCCGAATTAACCGGTCAGCAGCTGCGTTTCTACTAGTATTTATATAGTTCCCTTGCCACTTCGCTCTTCTCGAGGTTCTTCACCTCATCACCTTCACCAGTATAGTCGTCAGCATCAATGGCAACCAGGTATTGCTAATTGCACATGCAAAAGTTGGGTGACCGGCAGCAATTAGTAAGAGACTCTCTTTTCTCTCTGACGGGCATATATACATCACCTGGCCTCAGGGTTGCAGTGGTCACCGGAGGGAACAGAGGGATCGGGCTGGAGATCTGCAGGCAGCTCGCGAGCAACGGCGTTCTCGTCGTCCTGACAGCCAGAGACGAGAAGAAGGGCTCGCAGGCCGTGGAGGAGCTGCAGGGCTCCGGCCTCTCCGGCGTGATCCTCCACGATGCAAGGTTGGTGGAACCAAGGTCCGGGCGGCGCCCCATTGAGGCCGCCTGGCGCCCAAGTAACCTCCACCGTCTTAGTGGCTGCCTCTAAGTACCCCTGCCTCACTTTAGCTATAAATAGAGGTCGTGAGCTCATTTGTAAAACACAAGGGAAGAAAGAGCCCTCAAGAGAGTAGTTTAGCTTATGTTAACTAGTCTCTAGAGCAGAGAGAGTGAGAAGGCGAGGAGAAGCTGGAGGAGACAGGCTTGTCGGCGACCTCTTCTTCTTGTAGCTCCGCGGCTCTTCTATGGTAATTCTGTTCCCATTCTTACATTAAGTTTTGTTACATTTCTGTTGTTTACGGGTTTCACCACTTGGTTAGAGTGCACTAGTCTTCTTTCATCGGGATCCAGATTAGAGTAGTAAGCGCATAGATTAAGTGTGGTGCTTAGGTTATACCTTACCTGTGTTTGCGGCTAAGTCTTCGGATATATAGTGGTAGGTGGCAAGTGGTGACAGCCTTGTACATCCTCTGTATTCCACCACGATAGGCTTAGTTATTAAATCGTATGGCTCATGGCAGAACTTGTCTAGTTAACTCTCCTGGTTGGTAGGCGGGCTATGCCCCAAAGTAAACAGCTGATATTTACCATTCCTTGTTCAAGCAATAGTTACAGAATAACCCATAGTATTCCGCTCCTTTTCTCCCCAACATCTATAGGAATCCATTAGTTCTAGATTTAGATCACACCTTGTTCCATGTGGATTAGATACCCAGAATTACTCCTTGGTGAAAAGCTACTCTGACAACCATACGCTTGCGGTCTATTCTATGTGTCCCACCCCTGGTGTCAACAATTAGCGCATAGAGAGTAGCAAGTGTGCATCCACTCTTCTCATTAGGCTTGGTTAGGTCAAGTGAGAGTTCGTGCTTGTTACTCTTGGTGATCATGCGCCGGAGCTTGTGGATGACCCAAGTCATGGTGTGAGCGGTTATTGGCGATTCACCGTGACAAAGTGTCAAAAAATTAGCCCGTAGAGTGCACTCGGTCCTTGTGCGGATCGAGGGAGAGCTACACCCTTGCGCGGGTGCTCTAACGAGGACTAGTGGGGAGTGGTGACTCTCCGATACCTCGAAAAAACATCACTGTGTTCCTAACCATCTCTTTACTTTGAGCATTTATATTTGAGTAATTTCAATTGTGTTTTTACATTCCTAGAATTACCATGATAGAATGGGATTGAAACTTAGGGTGCAAAACTTTGTGCGTTAGAATAGAAATCACATTTAGGCACTAGGGGTGAAATGGGCTAAGCGGTAGGTTTTAATTGTTGCGAGCAATTTTAGATTAGACCAATTCACCCCCCCCTCTTAGGCATCTTGATCCTTTCACCATTGTTTCCCACAACCACAAGGTTTTGTGATGGAGTTTTTAATGAGGCGCATACGCGTAGGTTGCGAAGGGCGATCCTCACGACCAGGGTTCTAGTTCTGTTTGCACCTCATCTAGTATGAGCATCTATTAGGTTATGTTGTACCATCCATATCCCAAAAGTTAGGGGGCCACTGGTGTGGGAGCCCATGAGATATATGGGATAAATCTCCCCTTAGAAGAGGTCCAACTAGCAGCTAGAGTCATGTGAAATCCAGCCCCACCAAGGGACCACTTATAAGTAGCCATTTCCTATATAAGTGTGAAGGGCATGAGGGCAAGAGACCTCACCTCTCACTCATTCTCACTTATTAAAAAAGGAAATGGGAACGTGACGAAAAAGGAAAGATCGCAGTCGCGCCGCATGCGGCTGATCGTTCACCGGATTCCAGACGCGCGATCAACCGCTAAAATGGAATTGGGTTAAAGTTCCAATATTCCTAGTTGGTTTGGTTGGTTCCTGATCTACTATCCGTGGCGCCACATTTGCTAAGGAGATATCGTGAATTGATACGGTATCTTAAATTACGATGAAGTTATGCCGTGACCGGTCGTGCGACCATCTTCCTCCTCGTGCCACTCTGCTTGTGCCACCCCTGCCTTCCTCGCCCATCACCCGTCCCTGCCCTGGCCCTGTCCTCCCCTAACCTCTGCAGTGACGCCTCCGCTACCTCCGTCCCCGCCTCTTGACCTTGCCCTCCCCTAATCACAGGGCAGGTCGCCGACAAGCTCCGCCACGACGCCCCAGCGGCCAGCCCCGTCCAACCGCCGTCTCGTGGGCCCCCCAGGTGGACAAGAATAGGAGAGCCTGTGAGCGGGAAAGGGAGAGCGTGGGAGCGAGGTTGCACCGTCGTGCTAGAGCACAATGGTTGCGTAGTAGAGTTTATGCTTGAATTGATATACGTCCGAATCGGAGTGCGTTTGGAACTGTATACAGTGCCAGTATCCGTTTCCCTGTTATAACCGTGTCGAAACACGGTTGGGTAGTTGGGTATCGGCTACCGTCCGCTATCCCTATCCGATCAGGTTACATTTTTTTTAGGGGAATCCGATCACGTTACATATCGACGAAACCGTGCGAGCTGAGACTTGGCCCAATAAAAGGAGAAGCCCCTGTGTGACTTCGCTCCCCGCTGAGAGCCCTAATAATAAGGTTATAAGAGGAGACGAGCGCCGCCGCCGCCGCCGGCCAAGCCCATCGATCAAGATGGATAAACAGATGGTGTCTACCTTCATGGAGGTCACGTCTTGCGAGTCCCAGGCGGACGCCGTGCAGCACCTTGGCTCGTGCCATTGGAATCTGGATGAGGCCATCAATCTCTACTTCAGTAACGCCAGTGGCAGCACCGAACCGCCGCCAGGTTCGTCCGCCGATCCAATCTTGCCTGAGGAGAACGCCACCGAGCCGCCGTCAGGTTCTTCCGCTGATCCAATAATCTTGCCTGAGGAGAACGTGCCGACGAAAGAGGACAAAGACCACGGCGATGCAATCGACGGCGACTATGAAGACGACGTGCGCGCTCCTCAGTACTATGGCGACCGCAGCACCGCCGTCGACGCCCCCTTCGTCATGGAGGTGCCATCTCTTTCACTAAGTGAAATAGTCCCCACCGGGTGGGGAGAACCCGGAGTGGAAAACGTCGACGGCAACCAGCAGCAGGCCCACGACGACGATGCTGAACAGGACGACAACATCAGCACGAAGGAAGACGACGGCGGTAGCATGCATAGCAGCAACGGGGAGGAATACAACGATGAAGACTACAGCAATATGAGCTACAGTGAGGAGGAGGAGGAGGATGATGCCTACTACGCCTCTCTAGCGGAGGAAACCGACGGGGATCGGCCGGCGGTGCAGCCGCAACCAAAGGAGTCGCTGCGAGAGCTGTTCCGGCATCCGTACGAGCTGATGTACCGCGGATCCTTCCACGACGCCAAGGTGCACGCGGCGAGGGGGGACAGGTTCCTGCTGGTCAACCTGCAGACATCCACAGGCGCTGGCGATTTCCCGTCGAAGATGCAGAACCGGGACCTGTGGGCGGACGAGCTGGTCAAGAAGGTGGTCGCGGACAGCTTTGTGTTCTTCTTGCTTCAGACGTTGAACAGCGACGCACACTTGGACGAGTGCGCGAAACTGGCTAGCTTCTACAAGCTCGAGAAGGATCAGCTGCCGGCCGTGCTTGTCCTCGACCCGATCACGGGGCAGTTGCTAGCTAAGCGGAGCGGCGCCATGATGCCTGACGAGTTCATGCAGTTTGTTGATGAGTACATGAAATCGAAACCGAGCGCGATATCCATGCCCAAGTTCGTCGAGAAAACGCCGGTGTTCCCTGCACCTGTGGCTGTGGATGCAGGCGGCGAGCAAGAGTTGGCATGGGGATCTGCCGCAGGAGCCGTCGAAGAGCTGCCAGCAGTGTCCGAGAAGCCCTGCTGCACCTGCTGACGATGAAGTTGGCGAGCAAGAACAGGAAATTCCTAACAACTCTGCAGCTGCCGGCGGTGCCTGCAGCGAACAAGAACCAGTACCGGTGCCTAATAATACTACTGAGTTGCCCGCCGAGATGGTCGATGCCGACGACGACGAGCCCATGGAAGACGAGGAGATGTACAAGCTGAGGATTCGGTTCCCCGACGGCACCATGGTCGCCAAGGAGTTCGGCTGCAAGAGGAGGGTCGCGTCGCTCTTCGCGTTCTGCAGATCGGCCCTTCACGGTGGAGGGCAGCATGCGGAGGAGAAGAAGGCGATCCGGATCATGAGATTCGCTGGCCGCGCCTTGGTGGCGATACAGGACGACGATGCTGGTGCTACGTTTGAGGATCTGGGCCTCAACTTCGCAGCCGTGTCAGTTGTTTTCGATGTCTAGCTGGGTCTTGAGAACCGCAATAACATTAGTCGAATAGTCGACGTTTTCCTCGGTAAGAACTTGTGATACATTTGTTACAATTAGTCGAGTAGTTGACGTGTTTTCGATTTACTATTGATGCTATATTTGCTTGCTAAGTTCCTATTCACCTGTGTCCCTTCTTTTTGAAAGGAAGGTCCGCTCTGTCTGCTGAGTAGAGCATGACCTCGTTATCGCCGTGCGCATTTCATTACTAGCTGTTTTTCGAGAACGGCGTCGCACACAATGCGTGATACCCCGATACATAATCGATAATCACTGCTGGAGACAGCCTCTTCGCCGAGGGTCTGAGGCCCTCGGCAAAGGCCCATTAACCCTCGGTAAAGGCTTGGCTGATGGCGACTCTCGGCAAAGAGCTCTCGGAGAATTTTAAGTCGGCGAAGAGGGTCTTTGCCGAGGGCCCTTTATCGGGCACTCGGCAAAGCCTTTGCCGAGGGCTGGACCGGCACTCGGCAAAGAAAAGCAGCCGTCACGGCGCCGACGCCTGGGACGGAGTCTTTGCCGAGGGTCGTCTCCGGGGGCCCTTGGCAAAGAATTATTCTTTTTTTTTGAAAAATCTTTGCCGAGGGCCTCCAACTATGGCTCTCGGCAAAGAAATGTTACATAATTTTTCCAAAAAATCTTTGCCGAGGGCAATGGGACGGCCTCGGCAAAGAATTATTCTTTTTTTAAAAAAAATCTTTGCCGAGGGCATCCCTGCAGACCCTCGGCAAAGAAATTTTAATTTTTTTTAAAAAAGTCTTTGCCGATGGCCTCCAACCATGGCCCTCGGCAAAGAAATGTTCCAGAATTTTTCCAATGAATCTTTGCCGAGGGCAATGGGACGGCCCTCGGCAAAGGACCCTTCTTTGCCGAGGGCCTTGGTCATTGCCCTCGGCAAAGAAGCAGAAATTTAATTTTTTTTGTTTTTTGCATTCCATCGACACAAGCATTTCATATACATACATATATATATATCAACCATCACATATATATATCACACAGAACCCATTTTCTCACAATATATGACAACCATAATTGTGAACCACAAATCACAATATATTACAACGACAAGTCACATGTTCATCATCATTCACATGTTTATTACGACAAGTTTATGAAATCCAAGCACAAGTCAGAACCATAAACCACAAATATTACAATAAAGTCCAACCACATCACATAGCACTAGTCCTCATCAAGGTAGCCTATGAGACGGTGGTGAAGAAAAGGCGGGATCACTCCAAGGAGGCTTTCCATCGAATATCTCTATGATGGTGCAGCCGAGACTCCATATATCAACAGCGAGATCATAGCCTACATCTTTCATTAGTGTAGCTTGAACCATCTGAAGAAAGAAAAATTTTATCAATAACAGTACAAATAAATTTCTAGTCACAAGCATGTTACTTTGATATAAAAATAAACACATGAAGCAGCAAAATACAGTAATAGGCTCATTTGACAAGCCAAATTGGCTTTCTACTAAAGGCTAACTAATTCATTAAAAAAAACTGCCACCCAAGCTGTGAACTAGAGAAATGAGCTACTGTTGTTTTATTTTGTATGTCTCACAATTGGTTGCCTAACTAACTGCCCGTTTGTGAGTTCATATATCAAATAATATTTATTTTGCTTACAAATGCATTTCGTACAAAGTTAAGAGAGCTTCATAGCCCATCAACATAATATATGTTCTTATTCCTTTGTTGCACACACTGACTTTAAGCAGCCCATGCAACAGGCTCTGGAGTCTCACTGTACTTTGCAGTTTCAGTAAGTACAGAACTTCTGAGCTCCCAATGTTTTTTTTTTCACGATCTTGCCTGAGCATATTACTCGAGTTCACACTGTAATTGACAACCCATGCTGAAAACAGTGTAAGGTTAGATAAAAATCATAGTATTATCGTGTTATGCAACATTACAATTTTATACAGACCAAAGTGTGTGTGTGTGTGTGGGGGGTCATCACATGTACATAGAAAATTAAATTGATACTTAGTTGCATGAAAAGTTGGTAGTAATACAAGGAATATCTTAAGATACCTCTGGGGCCATCCAGTATGGTGTTCCCTTCAGTGAAAGATTAGGGGCTGCAGTACTTAACTGGTAAAAGGAGAAAATGGTGTCAATGGTGCCACATGAAAAATGTTACTGAACTCATGAGTCTATACTCACATGCTTGGCCATTCCAAAGTCAGCCAATTTGACTACACCCTGAACATCAACTAGCAGATTTGCTCCTTTGATATCCCTGCAAGTGTATATTTTCATTGCCTTTTACATAAATGACACAAACTGAAAGCAGATGCATTAGTATATAGCAATCAAAACCATACTGAGAGGTGCACTCCATGTTACTCTTTTGAAAACTTTTGTTTGAGGTTGCTCAGCTTTGATACACAAGCTATGCCCTCCACCTTTTCATATATTCGCCTAGGTGAGCTAAGGCATTGAATAAGATGGCTTGAGTTCTATTTCTGCTCATGGTTGTCAACAAAGTTCCTATTTTTATGTACTTTCATGAGTACTCTTTTTTTTTTTAAAAAAAAAGAGACCATAGCTCCTTCATCTCCCATCCTATATATGTTCAAATGACCACAGAAACGACAAGGTATCATGATAAGGGATGACCAATATAACCAACACTCCAATAGTGATGCATTTGGATCTCGGATGCAATAATCAATTTGCATACCAAAGTCTAGTAAGCCAACATAAGAAAGAACATAGCGACATGAACTAAAAGAGGCAAATAGCATGGAGACCTATGTGAGAAAAATTATACAAATAAGTATTTTGTGGGAAAGTTTCTCCTAAAAAGTTTTGTGTGGGAAAATCTAAAATTGCGAAAGTTTACTAGAAGCTCCTAAGCAAGACAGAAGAACTAGGAACCAAGCCACAAGTCAACATACCAGTTGACCTGGCACAAAAAAAATGCATTTGAACAATGACAGGGAGTTGCATACCTATGCATAATCTTTTGGCCATGCAAAAATGCTAGACGCCTTAGAATATGGCGGGTGAAGTTGCGAATAACTGATTCTGTCATTGCTCCATAATGTTGTTTGACATACTTATTAATTGAACCCGGGTGAATGTATTCCAGGTAAATGTAAAAACGATCATCAATCTGCAAGACTCCCCAAAGATTACATGATGAACTAAAAAGCAGAGCCCCTTTTTCGTTGACTTCTGTCCAGAACAGGTGAACTGTAGGGCAATAGTAGTAGATGTCTGTTATGAGCAATTGTCAACTGCTCGAAAATTCAGTTGAAACAAACATTCTAGTACAGAGACAGTTCCAATCCCCTTTGTTCCTACATTTCCACATCTCAATAAATGCTAAGGATCCCCGAATAATCATAAACGCCTTTCAACTACTAGCTGAAAGTAACATCTCAACCGATTGTTGGAACTACGGAATCATACTACAATGCCAATTGCAAATTGACTGCAAATGTAGCACTTCCCTACACACGTGAGTAGAATCTACAGGCAATCAAATCGAGCCATGCTACACATACAATCATCCATGCGATCGAATTGAATTCCGATTAAATTGGGCGAAAAAAGAAGAAAAAAGGCGATTTATTTTGAAGCAGAAAACACCGCACGGTCATGAAGCGTCGTCCTGTCGCCCCACCCATCGGCGATCCCGAGTGGGTCCGGCAGGCTGGGCGAGGCAGCGGCAGTGCAGGTGCAGGACGGGCGAGGACGTGGACATGGGCGGCTGCGCGCGCGCCTCCTTGAGAGCTGGCGGACTGGAGATGGGGGTGCCGACCGCGATCCCGATGGCCTCGAGGGCGGAGGCGGCCCCTCTGCTGCGGGCGGGGAGGAGGAGGAGGACTGTCGGAGACGCGTCGTCGTCGATGCCGAGGTCCCGGGCTCGGCGTCGACGCCGCCAACATCGACGTGGCGCAGCTTACCGGGCGCGTGAGCTTGGGCTTAGGCGGTGGTGGTGGCGGGGGCGGCAAGGCTGGCCGTGTGGCGGCGTGCGGCGGCGGCGGCGACCGACCAACGGCGTATGAAATGTGGACGGGATTTTGGGCGTCTGCTGGCCGATTTAGGGTTGGGCCATCCGGGCCGTCGGTAAAGATTTTTTATTTTTTTAAATTTTTTTTGCCGAGGGCCATTGACCGTGCCCTCGGCAATGATTCCTTTGCCGAGGGGCTCGCCAATGGCCCTCGGCAAAAAAAAAAAAAAAAAAAATCTTTGCCGAGGGCCTAACCTAACCCTCGGACAAGGGATCTTTGCCTAGGGCTTGGCCAATGGCCCTCGTCAAAGAAAATTTAAAAAAAAATAAAAAATCTTTGCCGAGTGCCTGATGGCGGGCACTCGGCAAAGACTGACGCCAATGGCCGCCGTGACCCATCCGGCCATATTTGCCGAGGGTCAATTTGCCGAGGGCTAGGCCCTCGGTAAAGATTTATTTTGCCGAGGGCCTATCTTTGCCGAGGGCTCCTGGGGCTGGCCCTCGACAAATAGAGCCTTTGTCGAGTGCCCGAGATCTAGCCCTCGGCAAACCCAGAAGCCCTCACTAAAGGATGGGTTTCCAGTAGTGAATGATGCATGCCAGACGCCCGGACGGACACGGTCCTCCACTCATTTCCAGCATCCGCTCATTCCTCCCACCCCCTTCCCCCACCGCGGCATCTCCACACCCGCAGCACCCACACCACGACACTCCTCTATCGAGCCGCGCTCCCGCGCCCCGCTCCCACACGCGTCGCCCGAGCCGCACCCCTCGTTGCCTCCCTCTCCCTCCTCCTGCTCCGGCGCGGCGGCGACCCCGGCGCGAGCATGAGCTCTGTTCAACGCGACCACCCCCGGCGACCCCCTTCCTCTTCTTCGGCCAGCCACCCCCGGCCTCAACTCCGATGCGGGGATGGGCGCGACCCTGACGGCGGCCCTAGCACAGGAGCAGATTCGGTGCGGGCGTGCAGCCTTTCTCCGGCACGGGACGCACAGCTTCGGCAC